GCGGACAGAGTGGACTTCAAGACCAAACAACTGTGAGAAACTCCAAGTCCTTTTGCACGCTCTGAGTGCTGGAGACAGTCGTGGAGGGGACTGCCCCTCCACCGTTGTGTTGATTCATGTAATAATGTTTTGATTGCACACTTCCGAAGCTCCAGTGCTTGGGAAGTAGTCCGGGATGTTCGTCTTGGGGTCATGGTCAGCTGGGAACGACTTTGTGCTTCAAGAGAACTTTGGTATGCTTTGGTTCTCCTATTGAAATGCAGGGGTTGCTTCGTTGGCTCCTCTGTCACCAGGCCCGACAGAAGCTGCAGCGCAGGCAGACGGCCAACCAGCATCGAGCCGAGGCGGAGGTGGCGCGGTGCGAGAACGAGGACGGAACACGAGCGCGGTGATAGCTGTTTGGAAAACTTGAGAGTTTTTCCCCCAAACAGTTTACGAACCCTGTGTCCGAGTGTTGTCCACCTGTTGTCCTCTTACCCGAAGCTCATGTCCTCCTGCTGTCCTCCATGGCCGTGCTTCCTTCTGAAAAAGACTGGCCACAGTCTCTGGCCACCCCTGAAGTCAGTGTGCAGGTTTTGTTTCCTGTTGTCCTCGTCTTGCCCTCGCTGTCCTCTTGATGTCCCTGTGTCCTCCTCTTGTCCTCATCCTACCCTGTGTCCTCCTGGTTCCGACCCAACCTTGTCCAGGCCTTGTCCGCGTTTGTGTGTCCTGCTTGGCCGCGCCATGGGCCGGTTGCCGTGAGCCTTTCTTCTCCGCCTTGTGAGGGCTTTGTCCAGGCCCTAGTCCGGGTCTGTTCCGCGTTGTCGGCCCTTTATCACCGCCTTGTCGTGGCCTTACAATACCCTGCTTGGCCATGCCGCTTTCCTCTCGACCTCTTTGCGAGGTATGTTTTCGTGTGGCTGTGACTGCAAGAGTGATACAGTGATACAGCGTTTCGAGTTTGATATGATCCTCGGATTTTCTCATGACATATATCCTGTCGTTTTCGCACATGTGACCCGGGAATCAGGTATTACTGTTCTTAAACATTTGCTTGCATGCCGTTCCCAAGCAGCTGGAGGGCTTAGGAATATATTTGCCGACGTTACCACCAATATTGGAATTCAAGGAGTTGACGCAAAAAGAAGCTGAACCCGTTTGGGGTCTAATTTCAGTTCATTGTTCATCATTTTGTTGTGATCTCCCAGAGAAGACGCAACTTCCCAGTGCAACATGTAGTAGAGTAGCGTCTCTTATCCATGAGTGATTTCGATGCAGGCCGTTTTGAGGAATAGAGCAAACCCTCAAAGACGTTCGGATGATGGAGGTTTGTATAGGTTCAACCTCTTGGTAAGCTGACCTGGCTTCGAGTGTTCATCTCAGGCTGTTCCACTTTCAGCGGTGAGCCGTGCTTCTGAAAAGTTTACAGCCGCTGTGAGTTTTGCTGGCAAGGAGCTTCAAGCATCCTTGGAACGTCTGAAGCCTGAAGGGTCCGGCAGCCAAGAACGCAAACGATTAACAGAGCAAACACCTGTCGCATGATTGGTGGAGCAAAGCGTGTTCACAGGATAGCGCCCAAGAAAATCTGGACTTGACTCCAAAAAGAGTAGGTCTTATTCCCCAACTGCATCGAACTGAAAGGAATTTTATAAGAGCTGTCCTCTCCTCCCCCCTTCTCCTCCTCCTCCTCCACAAACACCAGACCGCCGCGGGCACCAACGGGCCTCGATCGATCGGTCGAAGTGGGCACAGCCGGACCTCCTCGAGCACTAGACCGCAGGCACCACCGGGCCTGAACCAGATACAAAAAAATCAGGAAAGACTGTCAGAATTCATGCCAGAAAGAATGTCAAAGTACAATAGAACAAATGTCAGAACATATGCCACATAAAATGCAACAGTTTGTGCGAGATAGATTGCCAGAACATGTGCCAGGAAAAATGTTAGAAAGAATCCCAGAAGATGCCAGATGGAATGCCGACATATTTGCCACATAGAATGCCAAAGTGTTTGCCAGATAGAATGCCAGAATATATACCGCATAGAATGCCAGAACATATGCAAGATAGAATGCCTGAATGTATGCAACACACACAATGCCATAACATATGCCAGTATACAAGCAAAATAGACACTTTCTTGAGGTTGAAGCAATATAGCCGTCGGTCACCAGCAGAGTATTTATAATGCAATGGTGGGGATCACTCAAAGAAGAGTAATTATGTTTCAGCGCTTATAGCATCCCTACTAGGAGCAAGTGCATTGTTACTAATAACAAGAAGCTACTAGCAACCAGTGCATCGCTACCAGTAACAAGAAGCTACTAGTAACCAGTGCATCGCTACCAGTAACAAGAAGCTACAAGTAACCAGTGCATCGCTACCAGTAACAAGAAGCACTAGTAACCAGTGCATCGCTACCAGTAACAAGAAGCTACTAGTAACCAGTGCATCGCTACCAGTAACAAGAAGCTACTAGTAACCAGTGCATCGCTACCAGTAACAAGAAGCTACTAGGAACCAGTGCATCGCTACCAGTAACAAGAAGCTACTAGTAACCAGTGCATCGCTACTAGTAACAAGGTGCCTTGGCAGTAACAAGATGGCTTTCCACTTGTTCTGGGTTTCTTCGGCCGAGGCCGCCGCCTGGGCACCTGGCCTTCGCCTTGCGGGAGGCTTTGGGCTGCTGGGCCAAGCGCCGGCGGCTCTGCGAGCAGGTGCGTCCGTGTGCAAAGAATGGACCAAGAAGGTCTAAAACGGAAAATGGGTCAAAACGGATCAAGAGTCAAGAGATACAGTACTGGTACTTTTTGTCGGAGGGCTGTTGAATTCGAGTCTTTTGAGAGATCATCCCACCGACAACTTTGTGAGCATCATGCTGACCTTTGAGGTAGAAATGAAAACAACATCAGTTGAAGAGGAACTTCCTAGTAGTAACAAGAAGCTACTAGGAGCAAAGGGCATCGCTACTAGGAGCAAGGACGCTACTAGGGGCTCCTGGCATCGCTACTAGGAGCAAGGACGCTACTAGTTGAAGAGGAACTCCCAATCGGGAACAACGGATCCAAACATCGGTCTGTTAAGTCACCGGTCCAGTCGCCGTTTCGTTTCGCCTAGGTCCTGGACGGAATGGCACGTACCGGGTTGGCCCATGCCGCCGAAGAAGCGGGCATTGTCACCGATGAGTAGCTTGGAAAGCCAAAGTTCCCTGGTGCTGAAACTTCACGACCTAAAAACACACACTTGTATAATCTTGCATATATATATATATATAGTAATATATTTATATAACATGTACAATCAAACAGTCACTTAGACCATGAACAATTTCATTGCAGGATGAAAACATACTACTTTTGGGGCAAAAACTGCCACGCAATTTGAGACTGCACCAAATTGTGCTAACACAAGGAGGCTGACCAGAAATACCCACTTCTCATCATTTCTGCCTAATTTGTTTGTACATATAGATAGTGAAGATCTTCAACCAGAATAGTTTACTGGTAGATTCTTTGGATTGGTCAACGGCTTAACTAGCAACAAGCCATGGCTTCGTCAGGTCTATGTTGAGTAGGGCTTTGTTTGCAGTCAGTAACCAAAAAGAACGAATTCCTTCCTGCTGTGTTTTTTTTGCAAGACCCAACCTTAATGAACCATGATCGGTCAATGTGAGCAGGTCCTGTGGGCAGCACCTGCCGCAAGGCCGCTTAGATCCTGTTCTGGGCCGAGTTCCATTGCTGCTGGAGGCCGGAGGCTGACAGTAGACAACTGCTTTTTTGGTTTGTGTGAAAATGAAGGTACCCCATGAAGACAGAGTAGCGTCTTGCTCCTAGTAGCGATGCTAGTTTCTTGTTCCTAGTAGTAAGGCCAGGAGCCCCTAGTAGCGCCCTTCCTCCGAGTAGCGATGCCATTTGCTCCTATTTCTTCCTCTACCCCAAACGGTTTCGGCTCATCTAATGTCGACTTTTGAGTTCAATTGCGGGAAGTCTCAACTGAAATGGGCTTGCTTCAGCAGGAACATCAACAGCCATTTGTCACTCCAAAGATGCAGTCATGATCTGCTGGCGGAGACTGAAAACCTCCACCTCTTCATGGGGTACTTCTTCGTCTCACGACCATCCCATAGCAGCACAGCTGTATCAGAATTTCAGGCCAACAATTATGTATGTAGACACGGTGTTCTAATAAAAGGAACCTGTCTGTCAGTTCAGTAAACAAGTCAGCCCTCTGCTTAGTCATTTGATGAATCACCGGACCTGCCTGTGAGCAGGCAATGTTTTCCAATACTTTAGACTTTATATATATATATATATCGTTTTATCATTGTCACTGGTCACTCACTAGCCTTGTCAGGAACAAGCACTGGATGGCATTGACAATGCCTGGTGAAAGAGGCGCATGGTGCAAGGTTGTCATCATTGAGCAGAATGCAGTATAGCGGGTGACTGCACTCTTCGCCCAAGCACTGCACGGAATTATGTATGCATGGCCAAATGTTTGACTGGTTCAAGATCCAATATGTTGGAGAAAGGACACTCCAATGCTGCGTTCAGTGGTTCTATGGACTCGAACCAGAGACTCTGAAGTGGATCCTGCGACGTGTCCATGGGTCAACTCCCCACATTGAAAGATGTCCTGCGACTGGAATCACCTTGACTGGAAAACAAGAGACTTCTATCCTGGAGATCAATTCTGCAGTGGAGGATCCGAGAAAGCAATTATTTTTTTGGTGAAGGCGGCCCGAGAAATCAAGGCCTTGATTTGTGAAAACCATTTGGAGACCTTCACCATCCACCTGTGAAGGGAGCTGCTGAGGCCCATAGCGAGCTATGGGGAGCACCCTTTGCAACGGACAAAACAGAGCAAAAAGGGTGGAAGCTTCGCCTGTGGTTGTTTCTAAATAATGTAATCACCCGTGGTAGGCAAAAAGGAGAATGATTGTGTTGGCATCCATGGAGGTCATGAACCTTTGCCACCAAAGATCCTCTTCAAATGAGCTTTGTGATGCGGCTGGACACCAAGGCCCCAAGCCTTCCTCACAGCTTCGTTGGATGCCCAGATTTTGGGTCGCTTCGACAGTCGACTAAAGGAATACCAGGGGTTTCAGTTTACAGAGAACCGTAACGGTTCTCCAAAGTTCTTTTTCTCCTCAAATCTTTTGTCTTTCTCATAAGTGTCTGACAAAATTCATACCGTTCAAGCTATTTCATGTTGCACTCATTGGCAGAATGATAGACAAATCGACTTTGTCAGATCTGGTACCGTGTTACATTAATGACTCTCGTGACTGAAGAGAGGCAGACCGCCAATTTTCCGCTCCCAGTTCACCAAGGTTGGGGAATTTGCTGTTGCCCAATCTCTTGGCCATGAAGGGGTTTTGGGTCGAAGACCCAGAAGCGGAGCAGCATTACCAGCATAGTGCCATTCACCAGCATAGGATGGTCTTCTATCTTTTTTAATTGGCTCTCTTGTCGGACAAATGGCACTCATGGAGTCTCACGGCCACGGAGTCTTCGGCCACGGACCCTTGACTTTCGAGGCGCCACCCACGCGCCTCCTGTCCATAACCTTCAGCTGTGGCCTGGCCTTCCAAGCTGGGCACCAAGCGTGGCGGCCATTCATCCGCAAGCAAGCCACCTCATAGCTTGTGTGGACCGAACATCACATCTGGCAGGATCCATTCCCTTTCTGACCCACCATGCTTCTATCCAAAGCCCTTCGAATGCTTTGACTGCATTGCTTCGATTGGCAGCGAAGGCTCAAGCTGTCCGCAGACCATGAAGATGTTTATTTCGTGCGCATGGCAGAAACTGGGTGAGCGAGAGCTCAGGTTTAGCAAGAACCTTGTCAACCAGTGCGTTTTAGCAACATACCAGTATTCTCTTATTCCCTGTCTTGTTGGCCTTAGTCAAGCCTTAGTGGTTGAAGCAAATAATAACCCTCTCTCTCTCTCTCTACTCTATAATATATATATAATATGTAAATGGTCCAGTGAAACTCCAGCTTGACGCATGTCAAGAAGCATATTCTTTCTCCCGCTAGATGGGCATCGCCTATAGTGCTCTGGGCTGGGGCTTTGGCATGGCCTTCGGTGTATGGGAGTGGCGCTATTTTGTCAAACTTCCGCTGCCCGAGGGGCCTTTGCCGCTGGAGGGTAAACGGGAAGATCTGTATTTCCCAGCAGGAGAGAGCTTGGGATATTCAGTTTTCAGCCGTTTTCAGTAATTAAACCAATCTGGAAAGATGGGAAAACAAGGGAGAATATAATCAGATATTATATGATCATGAGATGAGCTGATGATGGATACGAAGGCCATACAATCAGCCCTTGTTTGTGTGGATCCACCCAAGCATCACGTGCCGCCACGGAGTCCAAGTCAAAACAACCCAGGAGACAGCCTGGGTCTGAAGTTGCGTGCCCTGACTGCCTGGCGCAAGATGGAATCGGCAGTTCCACCTATTTTCAGGTGTCACAGGGGGAATGCTTTTTCCTCAAAAGGTCAGTGCATCCTTCGCAGTGCGCCCCCGCAACTGAGAGAATGTGTTTTTCACGGTTTTGCAAGCTCACAAAATGAGGCACAGGCTCTTCATCCATTGGCCGAGAGTATGTTGCTTGTTCAAAATGCACCTAGCTTTTGTCAATCCTGCAGGTCACACTTGCAAAGTCCCAATGACTGGCTTCTCTGTGGGAAAATAGTGGGCTTTGGCCGGGGCATACCGGCAATCATGTCTATTTCCCATCTATTCCAACCCGTCGCAACCGTCGGTGGAATTGCCCAGGGAATGGCAGAGGCGGGCTGGAGGTGAAACGGCGGCAACAGATAGGTGAAACGGCGGCCGCCGAGCTGTGGAGCAAGAGCATTCATCAAGGCTGATCTGCGGGGGTTGGAGTTGGCTGATCTGCGCCTGTTGAGGGTAGCTCGCGCGAGCTCGCGCGAGCTCGCGCACTCGTGCACACGCTAGGCTGCCTGACGGCCGATGGACAGCTGGACGTTGAAAGCTGCGCGCATCAGTTGGGTGTTGACCCCGAGGACACTGCTGAGCCAAAAAGACTACCTGTAAACTTGAAGTGGAAAGATGCCACTGGGTTCCAGCTCTCACCAACCTTTACATTTCCGTTTTGTGTTGAATGCTGAATAATTTGTCGGAATTGGTGTCTCTTTGTGAAGATATGTAGTGGTTCTCAGATAGATGGAGTTATATATTTCTCAGTGTTTCAACATGTCTCGCCATTTTGCCACAAACAGGAACTGGCCCCCTCTGGCCAAACGTGGCCACCAGTGCGCGTGCGGAAGCAACGCCGCCATACAGAACTGGGGGAGGAGGCGATGTGACTGAAGATTTGCCAGTGAAGTATTGACAGGCAAACAGTCTGCAACTGCAGATTGTAAACACTGGCAGTAGTAGAGACTTCACATCTCCAAGATAATGACAAGGGAATGACAAGCACAGAGCATTTTTGCCAGAGTCGCTGCCTTTTTCGGAAGGAGACCGTTTTTGGTCAGTTGAGTCTGCCCGAGACGGTGCCAGGTGGAATGCCTCTTCCTCGCAGAGCGTGCGGACGGCAGTGTCTTGGCGGAGCGCTACTTGTCCGTTTCCGTGGAGTCAATGAGACTGGAGGAGCCCTTTGGTTGTACAGGCACCTTCTGCCATACTCTGAGACCGGGATTTCCATGGATTTCCCATGATTGTGAGGTGAGGGTGTGTGAAAACCTCAACCTTTGAACTCTCCAATGGCTTGTTGCTCACAGGAGGTTCTCCGTGTGACCCGTGAACCCCGCAAAGTGAAACTTCCGGAATCTGGGCAGCACCTGAACATGTTCAGCTGACCAGCTGGCAACCAGCAAATGCTCCACGCGAGACACTGAGGACGGTGCCATCATAGCGGGATATCCACAGATGGTACAGTGCATTGCAGAACGAGCGCGTGCGGCGCCTGATGAACTGAAGTAGCAATCATTTGGCAGTAGAAGAGAGGATGTACAAAGCTTGGACCATAGATGTTGGCATTTCAAAGCATATTGGATCCTGGTCATACGGGGATGGGCATGTGTGAAGGCACTGACGGTGCAGAATCTGCTTTTGTGCCGATCAGCTCATTTTCCAGAAATTAGTCTCTTGCAGACGTTTGCTTGCCAACATTTGGTGACCACACAATTTTATCAACCTGCCTCCCCCTTTCCAGCAGGTCGAGGCCTTCTCAGCGTCCGAGTTTGGCTGAATTTCCAGACATTCTCTTGGACAGCTGCAACAAGGGACGCTTTGTCCAACAAGGGACGCATGTCCAACAGTGAGGTCTGCCTTTTGGAGAACGTACATTTGTACAGCGCATCTCGGCGGATTCAAAACTGACTGTGCCGCTTTTTATGGGTCCTTTGAAGGAATGCATCCTAGTAGCTTCTTGCTCCTAGTAGCGATGCCAGGAGCCCCTAGTAGCGTTCTTGTTCCTAGTAGCGATGCCCTTTTCAGGATTCACACGTGGAGCCACAAAACTAGAAGGATCCTAGAACATGGCCATGATGCTTGTGCATTTTTGCCAAGACGAAGCCTGAAAGCAGCCATCTGGCCCAACCGTATTTGTTCACTGGACGTCAATTCCGAGAAGGATACAAAGGGCGTTTCATATAAATGCAGCTGTTGAGTTTGTTGTTGCTTGGCTTCTTTCCAATTATTAATTCCCTCATTTCCCAGTTCTCTCAGTTCGGACAGACATTAGAAGCTATATAGCTGTAAATTTAATCGCGTGCACATGAGCAGCCCCAATCAATCGCTTGAATCAGAAGATGACTCATGAAATGACATATTCTTTAAGGTTCTATACTGTTTTTTCCCGTTCACAAACAGCCAAAGTTTTTCAACCAAAGGCGTGCGACCTTCCCGATCTAAAGCTACGCAGCGGATGGATTGCTGTTGCTGCGGTGTGCTGAAGCTGTTGGGAGCACATCCTGAGCTGGTGTCTTGGATGCAGCCTCCGAACGAATCAGGCTCTCCGTGCACCCTGAGGCTCTCACTTCAAACATTGTTTTGGTACATATAGGTTTGCCTTACCTATTGTACTGTCCACATTTGTTAACGTGAGATAAGCAATGGGCTTTGCCACAACTGCTTTGGGGAGTACTTTTTGCTGTTATAAGATGTAATAAGGCCGTTTCTTCCTCACGAAGGGGCAGACCCTACCTTGAAAGACATGCCGCAGAACAAAGTACAACATGTACTTTCAAATATGCCTCCTGAGGTTCTCCTGAAACTGCGCCAAATGAATCTCAGCAGCACCAAGGTGAGCCGCACCACCCTATGTCACCCAGGCAAAAGCTTGGCCATGTTGTGGAGGCTGGAGATGTGGGTCTGAGTTGTTCACGAATCCCTATATAATAAGCTGGGCAAATATTCAATTTATCCATTGTGAGACACTCCCAGGTGACATGTCAGGAGAGGGACTTGCTTCTTGGGGCTGGCGCCATAATGGATTTTCCCTCCCCACATCCCTTCCAGACTGACGCAGACGAGGCTAAGACAGCTAAGAGAGTCTCTAGAGGTAACCTCACATGCAACAAGGGGTTACTAAGAAGCTTCAAAGACATGCTATAGTAAAAGCTTCTTGTTACTACAGGTGAAACGATTCCCATGCGCACTGCTCCTCGCTCCTCTCCTTTGTCCCTTCTTCTCGAATGCGCAGTGCGAACAGCAGTGTCTTGCAGCAGCTTTGCGGCAGCGTGCCCAAAGAAACAATGCAGAGCATGCTGCCGGTATTTTTCCGCGAGGCCGGACCGCTCTTTTGTGACGATCACATGTTGTTTCCATCATCAAGCACAAGATGCCTGCAGAAATCCAAAGAAGCTGAATCAGAAAAGGAAGCTGTCCGGACCGGGCACCGTGAGAATTGCAGTGAGGACATTCTTGAATTTCCCATGCTTTTACCTGAGATCCGATTTCGATCCTCCAGGTGAGCTATCGACAGTTCATCGATGTCTTAGTCCCTCTCCTCGAGGATGTCCAGCTCTTGCCGCAGGTCACTGCCATGCTCATGGAAAATCAGTTCTTCCGGACCCTCAAAACCTAAGCTTCCCCCAAAAATCTAGGAACCAAATCATTAGAAGCGTGAACTATCCTGCATCCTGCATCCTAAGTAGTAGCTACTTGCAGGTAGTAGCTACCTCTTAGTAGCTACCTCCCCCTTACTGAATTATGTAGGCGCCTACTTAATTAAGTAGGGAGGGGGGGTCGGGCAAAAAAAACAAAAGTCCAGCTCTTGCCGCAGGTAAGTGCCATGCTGATGAGTTTGGGCGCCTCAGCTGCCATGCTGGTGGTGCTGAACCGTGCACCCAAAGGAAAGCTCTCCATCGTGCTGAAAGCGCCGGTGGAGGTGCCGACAGAAAACCGAGAAAACCAGAAACGACCTTGATCTGGGTGTGCCTCCAAAGACGCCAGCCAGTGACACACAAACCATTTGGGGCTTGCGTCGTGCCATGCCAATTTTCGGCTTCCTTTGTTCTGGTGGCGCGCGTGCAAAGATCTGGTGGGACGGCACGTACAAACAAGTGAGCTGCCTGAACCTTTCTTTCCAAACCCTTTGACATTGAAGGCCTTGGCCAT